ATAGGATTTATATAGCGCCAACAGTTTGTGCAGCACTTTACAAAATTGAAGGAGACACTACAATTAACAATACAATTTCAGAACAGGAGGTAGGAGGGCCCTACTTGTGAGAGCTTACAATCTAGTGGGAGGGGCAAGTGATCCAAAAGGTAATAATTGTGTGGGATGAAATAATGGAAGAAATTAAAGTACTGTTATATCGAGGTGGAATAGGTCTCCCTTAAGAGATGAGTTTTCAAGGATCGTGGACAGTTTCATTGTCACTGTCCACATGAGAATTAGTGATTTTAAATCACCTCATAGTTCTCCTTTAACCTCTTGCCGTCCGCCCGTAGTAAAAAAACAAAATGTAAGAGTTTGCACCAGTCTATTCCTAACATGTCAGAACGTACAGCAACAGTATCATTTATCAAAACAAGCTGTACATTTATTATAAAAAAATAAAAAAGAGTCCCTGATCTCCATTCAAGTGACTTTTCCCAGGCTGAGATGATGTCATCAGTTTGCTGCAGGCAGGAGGAGGCATATCCTCATTCTCCTCTACCCCAGTAATCAGGCTGCAACATTACTTTGAAGTCATTACATACTTTTACTTGAAGTCACAAGTGGCTGGACAGGGGACCGTTGGTTGTGAGACACTTGTGCGCACAACCAAGAACTGAACAGGCACCAGGGGTTTACATGACCTTATCCTCTCTGAGCCAGATTCTCAGTTCAGGGAGCAAGCCCTATTTTTTGCGTTTGCGGCGGAACGGAATGCTGGCAAAGAGTTGCCACGCGTTCGATCGCACTGCTTGGGGGTCGGTGGAAGCGTTGCCAATGAATTTAATGCACCGCCACGCCCACTGCCGCCCCAAAACGCGGGGAGAAGTTTCTTAGCGATCGCGGTGTGTTCCAGCAGCTACCTCTCTGGAACGCACACGCTTTCTGTGTGGACAAGGCCTCAGCCGAAGCTACGGCTGGATCTTTCGGCTCCTTCGTGAATAACCCTGTATGTTTCTGCTGCTTGCTTTCTTTCTTTGATACTGTGTTGCACTCATTGGAATTCTCATATGGAATGAATAAACAAAGAAGAGTTTGCTGTTGTTTCTTTTACTTTGTAATATAATAAAACATAAAGAGACCTGGAGACATCAGAGTTTCTATAAATGGTAACACTGACACAGAGACAAAGAACAAGGTTTGAATGCAGAATAAAGTTTATTTGCTTGTGCTAGTTTCCTATTTTCAATTTCCGTTCTCTTCTGTGTTGTAGCTGAGCACAGGGGTTCCAATAACACGGTCAGCGTAGAAGTGGACCTGTCACAGAGATCACATTGATCCCTCTGTCATTGCCTTCATCTGCTTTTCTCTCAAGGACGGCACCATCTTTCTTCAGGCATCACCCAAGTTCACCATTAACATCCGGGACTTTTAATTTTTAAACAGGGGGAGGGGTGAGTCATCTTTTAGAAAATAGACTTTTAGGACCTATTTAGAATAGAGTGTTGCAGTAACTGTGTTGTGGTAACCACGTGTTACCATTGGCTCTATGTGTGTCCCCACTGTGCTCTGTAGTTCCATTCTCCAGTGCTATGACGTTAGAGGACGCGGTACTGACATAGGGGCCGGTGGTTGGAACAATGGCATCACAAGGGGGGTGTGACTCGCACGGGTTACATAGTATTTGAGTTTGAATAAAGACACAGGTCCATCAAGTTCAACCCATTGTGTGTATGCATGTGATTCTGCATGTGTATGAGTCCATATGTGATCTTGTTCTTAAGTGTACCTGTACCCCTGAATGTTATGGTCTCTGAGGAAATCGTCCAAAAGCTTTTTGAACGATCCAACACTCCCAGCTTAAATCACCGCTTGCGGCAGCGAGTTCCAGACCCTAACCGCTCTAACTGAGAAGAAGCCCCTACGCCCCTTATGCTGAAATCTTTTCTCCACCAGTATTAGGTGGTGGCCTCTAGTCTTTGTTATGGAGTTTACCGTAAAAAGTGTATTGCTGATGTTGCCATCACCATTGAACATCGTGTACATCAAAATCATGTCCCATCTTAATCGCCTCACTTCCAGCGTGAACATGATTACATTTAGTACATCATCAGAGAGGGCTGACGGTCATTTTTGGTGTCACCCCCCTCTGAAGAGTCAGGCACTCGGTCATGCACCGAGAACCCGACAGCTGTACGAGAGAGGAGACCCGGCAGCATACCTTATCCCGCTGGGTGCCCCTCCTTTCTTTGCCGGTGTCCATCGCCCCTGGCAGTTGAGTGCATGTGACGTCATAACACATGCGCGTGTAATGATGTTCCAGCCGGTGACACTCGGCGGGGACACCCCTGGGTTGTAACCACGGCATGCAGTAAAGGACCAAGCATCTGACACGCCAGGAGTGGGCAACTCCGGTCCTCCAGCTGTGCCTCTGTAAGTCATGCCTGTGGCTGTCAGTCTTGCAGTGCCTCATGGGACTTGTAGTTCCACATCAAATGGAGGGCTGTAGTTGCCCACCCCATGACACTAAAGTGAAGATTGTAGTCACCGTCCCCAGGAGGTAAGTGTTCCTCTACTTCTGTTACAGGATGCTTTTGCAGCATTTTTTTCCCCAGCAATAGTGTTGTTTTGAGAGCAAAATGTTGACAACGTATACCGACTAGGAGCAATATAACGGACACCCCCTAAGAGCAATATAACGGATACCCCCTGAGAGCAATACAGCGGACACTCCGAGAGCAATATAACGGACACCCCAAGAGCAATATAACGGACACCCCCTAAGAGCAATATAACGTACACCCCCTAAGAGCAATATAAAGGATACCTCCTGAGAGCAATATAACGGACACCTCCTGAGAGCAATATAACGGACACCTCCTGAGAGCAATATAACGGACACCTCCTGAGAGCAATATAACGGACACCTCCTGAGAGCAATATAACGGATATCCCCTGAGAGCAATACAGCGGACATTCCGAGAGCAATATAACGGACACCCCCTGAGAGCAATACAGCAGACATTCCAAGAGGAATATAACGGACACCCACTAAGAGCAATACAGCGGACACCCCCTGAGAGCAATACAGCGGACACCACGAGAGCAATATAACGGACACCCCCTGAGAGCAATACAACGGACACCACGAGAGCAATATAACGGACACCCCCTGAGAGCAATACAACGGACACCCCCTGAGAGCAATACAACGGACACCCCCTAAGAGCAATACAACGGACACCCCCTAAGAGCAATACAGCGGACATCCCCTGAGAGCAATACAACGGACACCCCGAGAGCAATACAATGGACACCCCCTGAGAGCAATACAATGGACACCCCCTGAGAGCAATACAACGGACACCCCCTGAGAGCAATACAACGGACACCCCCTAAGAGCAATACAACAGACACCCCCTAAGAGCAATACAACGGACACCCCCTAAGAGCAATACAATGGACAACCCCTAAGAGCAATACAGCAGACACCCCCAAAGAGGAATACAGCGGACACCCCCTAAGAGCAATACAATGGACACCCCCTGAGAGCAATACAACGGACACCCCCTGAGAGCAATACAACGGACACCCCCTAAGAGCAATACAACGGACAACCCCTAAGAACAATACAGCCGACACCCCCTAAGAGCAATACAGCGGACACCCCCTAAGAGCAATACAGCGGACACCCCCTAAGAGCAATACAGCGGACACCCCCTAAGAGCAATACAGCAGACATTCCAAGAGCAATATAACGGACACCCACTAAGAGCAATACAGCGGACACCCCCTGAGAGCAATACAACGGACACCACGAGAGCAATATAACGGACACCCCCTGAGAGCAATACAACGGACACCCCCTGAGAGCAATACAATGGACACCCCCTAAGAGCAATATATCGGACACCCCCTGAGAGCAATACAACGGACACCCCCTAAGAGCAATATATCAGACACCCCGGCCAGATCACCAGCTATGCAGACCTTGAGAATTCATATGATCACTTAGGACCTTTTTAACGTGTGAGAACACAATGCATAGTAACACATGGCACACAAACAATCCCCCCTGTGCTATAATGTACCACAACACACATGTGAGTTCTCTGTGCTTGTGGTGTGCTGTGTTGTCACATATACTCCAGGCCCTTACACCGGCAGAGCGCAGGAGGGGTGGGAGTAGAGGCTGTGGGTACCCGTCTTGCAGCCTGGAGGGACTAAGGATCAGGTAATTCTGCTTCACACCATTGCCTAGACCAAAATGAACAGTAACCCTTAGAGGAGTCCTAAGCATGGGTGTCACCTGCTGGGACATCATTGCACATGCATGTGTCTTCATTACACAACCTCATTACGTACTCGCACATCTTGGTGGTGGACGCCAGCAAATGAGAGGAGGGGACGTTCATTCGGTGGGAAAGGGTATGTCGCCAGGTCCCCTCCTCTCTCTTGCAGATGTCAGGCTCTCAGCTCATGATTTTTCAGGGGGGTGACACCAAAATGATCGTCAGTCATTTTGGTGTCACCCCATCTGATCTGATGGTGTCACCCCTGTGCGGGCCGCACCCTCCTTGCAGGGGTAAGTTTATGTTTGGCCAGAGTTCTTCTTTAAGGGTCTGTTCACACGTGTCCGCTCTCATGCAGCTGGAGACATGCGTTTAGCTGCATGTTAAGACCAGATGTCACAGTATGTGTCACGTGTTCCTCTGTCTGTATGACACACTGACGCTGAATACATGTCTGTACACACCCAGTACATGCTCCATGGGTCGTCCATGTGTCTGTATTGTCCCCTGCTCCCTCTCGGCTCCCTCGCTGTACATATGTCATCACCATTATGTTTCCTCTCCCTTCTCCCCCTCCCCGCCTGGACACGCCCCCTCTCTCTGCCAGCCCGATCATGGAATCCCTGTCAATCCGGAGCCAGGGCCTCTGTGTGAGAATGCCGCTGATTGGCCGGCGGCCGCCCATGTAACCAATCAGAGCGCGGCTAGCATGGTGGAAGGAATAAATACAAGATGGCTCCTCATATAAAGCCAGGCATCTGGCTCCTCCGCGGCCGCGGTGAATTATCGCCTATAATCCGCTCTGGCTTCCGCTGTGGCCCTGAGGAGTGAACGGCGGCGCTTGAGAGGAGGGGAGCGAGGCAAGCACGGCGGCCAGGGGGATGAGCGCGCCTTAGCCGGGGGCCGTGCGCTGGAGGTGTGGGGTTGAGGCGCAGTCAGAGGCGGATCTTAGCCTGGAATCTAGGCCCCGGCTCCTTCCTGGCCCTCCTCGCCCCCTTTTCCGGCCCGGTGTGTGTGCCCCCAGAGGGGAAGAGGCACGTCATGGCCGTATCCAGGTTGGTATGCGGGAGGGGCACGGCTGCATAGGCACAACTCTGCCGGTTCGCTATAGATCAGAGCTGGCCCACATGGGGAGGCTCTCCTGCTGAGGGACTACAAGTGCCAGCAAATACGGCAGGGGTTAACTGACACTTGCAGCACCCCTGTGATCAGCAGAAGAGATCTGCCTCACATTATAAAAACATAACTGCTGCTGTTGCCTTCAGAAACCCATCCCTGCAGACTGGTTACCCCTGGCAACACCATCACTTGTGCTGCAGGTTGTTGTTGCTCTGGCTGCAGCTAAGTGGTCCAGATATTAGATGGGTGACCATGGCAACCAGACCAGTCCCTTGTTGGAAGGGAAAATCTGATTGGTTGCTACAGGTGACAGCCGCACTTTATTACTTTTCAGAAATCTGGCCGTGATGTGTTTACACAGATTGTAATGATGAGGTTGGGAGAAAAGTTTCTGTGCTTGGAATTGGTGCAGATTTTATTTACTTGCAAAATGAACATTGTGATGTGATCTGCTTCCTGGCACATCATTCCATTTCCAACAATGAGCTCTGAACCAGGGCTCCTGCAGGTGTGGTGTCAGAGGATGCCTTTTGTATGCAGGCCTAGCGCTGAGCAAACACCTTGTCAGAACAGAGAAGACTCCATCATCATCATTATTAGTTAGGATTTCTATAGCGCCAACAGTTTCCCCAGCAATAGGCAGGTGGTATGGATACCCAGCATTGGCCTGTAATCCAAATGCATCTCCATAGTATCTGCTGCCCCCAAACAGACTCGGAGCCGGTCTGGACTGTCCTCCACCCTGCACCATTGATGTAAATGAGGATCTTGTGCGTTTCTAAAGCAGGTATAAACCTATCTACATGAGCCCCAAGGGTTGCTGTACCAGACAGATTCCTTGCTCCAAAGATGATTGGTTGCTTGGGTCACCAGTTAGAATTTTCACCCAGTTTTCATTAGACAAAGTATCAGAATTGTCCAGTGACTAGACCAAGAGCTAAAGAAAGTAACCCATGATGTCTGGATGGAGCTTTACTAAGGCTTCATTCTGGGCTTGTTCACACTGAATGTGGTGCATTCCAGAGTGTTAGCCTGCATTCCGTTCCAGTGCAAACAATAGAGCAAACTCTATTTTTTTGCTTTTGCAGTGGAACGGAACGCAGGCAAAGTTTTGCCACGCGTCAGATCACACTGTAGGCGGGGTGTGTGGAAGCGGTGCCATTGAATTAAATGCACTGCCACGACCCCTCCTGCCCCAGAACGCAGGGAGAAGCTTTGTGAGGGATCGTGGTGCGTTCCAGCAGCTACCGCTCTGCAAAGCACCGCATTCGTTGTGCACAAGCCCTCACGCAGGAGCTGACGTCCGCACGAATACACGCGAAACCACTCTAAACATTCAAAAAAAACCTATGCCCTTTAATGTGCATTGTTCAAACTTTTGTGTCGGCCACGCGGCCTGCAAAATAGTGCAAACGTGATGATATGGCGGATTCCGCGCTTTCGCAGCTATATCATAGCCGCAAACAAGCAGAATCCGTGCAGATTAAGAATCTTAGCGTTTTCATGCTGGGAAACGCTATAAGTGAATGGAGCCTTAAGCAGGACCATGAAGAGACCAGAGAGCTCGCAATCTAAAAGGGAGGGGCGAGTGATACGAGGGGTGGTAGCTGTCTGGGGATGAGAAAGTGATAGTTTAGCGGGATAGGCTTCCTGGAAGAGATGAGTCTTTAGGGTTCACCTAATGGCAGGCAGAATGATCTAATCGGTTGCTATGGTTACTGCACCTTGTACTCCAACTTTTGGTGATTTAAGCCCATTTGTCATGGCTATCCACCTTCATAAGATCCCACCTTCTGTAGCCATTAAGCATAGGGGAAGAGTATTGACCTTTGATCATTGGCTTTGCAGCACTTGGAAAGCCACATATTTCCTCTTTTGGGGCACAGCTTCTAGAACCAGTTCAGTTTTTCTTACCGTAAACTTGGCTGTGATGCATGCTATCTTCCCTTTTTGCTCCTTGTTAATTTCTGCTTACCTAATCCAGCAAATATCTGGGACTATCTGGTCCTTTTTCAGTGTAAGGACCTTGGGCATCTGGAGTGCTGTGATGCACACACTTATTTCCTGAACTGATGGGTTGGAAGCCCATTCCTGTCTTCAGAGCTTCACCATTTTTCCAGTTAAGCTGCCCTTCACCTTTATTGGGTAACCAGGGAAGCTTAGGACATGGAAACGAGGCAGGTCCAGGGGCCCAACACATCACAGTAGGATGTCCCTATCAGAGAACCTTGATAGTTTACAACAAGAAAGGACTTGATGTGTAGGCACCCAGTGGTGCCCACCGACAGCAATACATTAGCTACCTGTATAATGCCTCCTTCAGAAGTGCGGTCCAATCGGGTCCCAATTTTTGTTTTTTCAGGAGGATCCTATCGGATGCCCATTGTAAGTCTATGGACACTTACAATGGACACGATGTCACAGAGGTGACATGCAATCTGTACCGCTCTGATCAGGAGAGGATCAGAACATAGATCACCCGTGTGTCAGGAGCCTAAAACCTCGTTTCCTTTTGAATGAAGAATGATTTCCTCAGGATTGCTTCTGTGTTTTATCTTTTGATGACTTGCCTTCACTCTTTTTGAAATGTGTGCTTGGATGTTTGGTTCTGAAGTATATCAGGGAGCATGTTTACCTTCTATAGGGCTAGTTTTATCAATACTGGATCTATAAAAAAAACATTTACAGATTGCTGTTTTATTTTTTTTCTGATTTTTTTTTTTTTTTTTTTTTTTTTTTTTTTACACACACACACACACACACACACACACACACACACACACACACACACACACACACACACACACGTTTAATTCTTGCAGGGGTGTTTGATGGAGGCTTGGCACCTACTGATGTAATGCCCCAGAACTACACCTCCCAAGAACCTTTTGCTTACACCGTGCGTCGGCATTTTGTATGTATTTAAGGCAACGGCACTTTTATGCTAAAAAAGAAGTGTGTGGCGGGGGAAATAGGTGGACGTCTTTAGTCCAACAGGCTTGTTTGGAGCCACTCATGGCAGCCTCAATGTGGTTGATCCATGTACTGCTTACCTCTAGGAATGAATGGGGCCGTGGCGCACACGTGCAGTGCAAACTGTCAAGATGGCTGAATTGGGGTTGAAGGAGAGTATTTGACACAGTGGGCCGCACTGAAATGTAAAAAGTACAGTTCTATTTATAGGCTGACAGTATGTTTTGTGTGTCTTAAGGAAACCTTTTCAATTTGAATATTCCATCAATGCCCGTGAACACTGCCTGCATCCAATCAGATTGTTCAGGTATTTTGAGAGCCAGTGGGGCCGACTAGCAAGATACCGAAGCTTGGCCCAGTGGGAGATTCCTTCATCCACACAGTTTAGCGTAGATGGAGGAGTCTGTTGCACTTTTTCCATCTGACCACAAAAAATCTGCAGATAATCTATAGGTGTATGGCCAGCTTAATGCAGTTTACTAGTCGGATGTGGTTGCTGCGGTATATATTACATTTTAGTTCTGAGCTTAAGATACGCTTTTAGTGTTGCTTTTTGTCCCAACTTCTGCTTTATTATCACGCTGCATAGATCTGACTGGTAGAGGAAGGCTGCTGTGTTGGTCAGTCGATTTATACATGCACTATATTGCCAAAAGTATTGGGACGCCTGCTTTTACACATACATGAACTTTCATGGCATCCCAGTCTTAGTCTGTAGGGTTCAATATTGAGTTGGCCCATCCTTTGCCGCTATAACAGCTTCAACTCTTCTGGATTGCCAGACAGAGAAACGTGATTGGTCACTCCAGAGAACACGTCTCCACTTCTCTAGGGTCCAGTGGCGGCGTGCTTTACACCACGGCATCCCACGCTTTGCATTGCACTTGGTGATGTAAGGCTTGAATGTAGCTGCTCGGCCATAGAAACCCATTCTATGAAGCTCTCTACGCACTGTTGTTGTGCCAATCCGAAGACCACACGAAGTTTGGAGGTCTGTAGCTATTGACTCTGCAGACTGTTGGTGACTTCTGCGCACTGTGTGCTTCAGCATGCGCTGACTCCGCTCTGTCATTTCACGCGGCCTACCACTTCATGGCTGAGTTACTGTTGTTGCTTCCACTTTATTATAATACCACTAACAGGTGACTGGAATATTTAGTAGCAAGGAAATGTCACGGATGGACTTATTGCACAGGTGGCATCTTATCACGGTACCACGCTTGTAGTCACTGAGCTCCTTTCACAAATGTTTGTAGAAGCGTCTGCATGCCGCGGTGCTTAATTTTATACTCCTGCGGCCATGGAGGTGATTGAAACACCTGAATCCAGTGATTTTGGAGGGGTGTCTCAATACTTTTGGTAATGTATGTGCTTATGGCTATTGCTTTTAATACTGACCTCATCTGATTTGATAGTTTTGGTCAGATTATGTGATCTGTCATGTGTATTTTGTAAAGTTTCTCTTATACATAGCCGGCTCTATTTTTTTCCATAAGAGAAAATAGATCCCCCCATTCGTGCTACACAGTATGGATGGAGGAGTCTCTACTGCCAGGTATTGCATTCAGCAGCCATGACGCCCACAGTTGTTCTGCTGAACATTGCCGTTATCTGATCGGAAGCAGTCACTCTTCGGCTGATTTTCCTTCACAGCTCAGTGGACTTTTAATTGGATTTATGTCAAGCTTGGTGTGAGTTTAGGGCCACCCACCGCTCAAATTGTGGCTTATTCAACAGAAATGGGCTGAAACTTGTGGAAGTGGAGATCTGCTGGTGAGGATGGGGAAAACCATATACTCTAAGCTTGTGTATAGATTGCGGAGGTGTGTGTGTCCTTTTTATTCATTCATATGGCGGTTGGTTTAGTAAAACTGATGTCTTGCGTATGAGAATCTATTTGAACAAAGGAAGGAAGTCTTTAAAAAAGGCGGATCAATGAAGACCTCGGCATCCCTAACATTCG